CTGCCGCGAGAAGTACGTGGAGGACGACCTGCTCATCCAGTGCCGGCACTGCGATAGGTGAGCCCCTTGGGGTTGGGGAGGCCGCCGGGGGTCCCACATCCCCATCCGGGGCCAGTTTGGGTCCCTCGTCCGTTGCAGCATGGACACGGTGTGAATTTGTGCTCAGGTTCCTTTATGTCTCGGGGACCTCCGGGAAGTTTTGGAGCTGGGGCAGGGGCCAGTCTGTCTCTCTTGGAGGGTTTTGGGCTCTCCACGTGATCCTGCAGCATCATCCCTGAGGTTTCCTGCCCAGAGTTTTTGAGCTCAGGGTGAAGCCTTGCAGCTGGGGAACGTGAGCTTGTCCGCACGGGGAAACGTGGCCCCACTCAGAAACGTCCCAGCAAGTAGCTGGGGCAGCTGTTCCCGTGGGGGTTCGTGGGGTCCCAGATCTCTCCACGGAGCCAGACGAGTGTGATGGGACCCGGCTCCCTGCAGGTGGCTGCATGCGGCGTGTGACAGCCTGTTCACGGAGGAGGAGGTAGAGCAGGCGGCGGACGAGGGGTTCGACTGCAGCGCCTGCCAGCCCTACGTGGTCAAACCTGCTGGTGAGCACCCGGGATGGGGGGATCGCCAGGAAGGGGGACGCGGGGGGCAGTGGGGATTCACCTCTGCCTCTCTCCCTCTGCAGTCCCTGTGCCTCCACCAGAGATCACCTCAGTCAAAATCAAGGAGCCAGGTACGTGCGGCTGGGATGGATGGATGCATGGATAGATGGAGATAGTAGTGCTGGGATGGATATATGGAGCTAGTGGCACTGGGATGGATGGATGGATGCATGCATGCATGCATGGAGCTGGTGGTGCTGGGATGGATGGATGGATGGATGCATGGAGCTGGTGGTGCTGGGATGGATGGATGGATGCATGGAGCTGGCAGTGCTTGTGGGCTCCTTGGGAACCTGGGTTTTTCCAGGGACATGGGCTTCCCGGGGACATGCCAGGCATTTGCTGCATGCCCAGCACTGTATGTTTTTCTCCCAGCAGAGCCCCAGTACTTCCGCTTCGAGGGGGTCTGGCTGACGGAGACGGGCATGGCTGTGCTCCGCAACCTCTCCATGTCGCCTCTGCACAAGCGCCGGCAGCGCAAGACGCGGCTGGGCACCCTCAACGGCGACGGCGTGCTGGAGGGGGGTGACCCGCTGGGCCCTGATGACAAGAAGGACGGCGACCTGGATGCCGACGAGCTGTTGAAGGCCGAAGGTGCGTTTTTCCCTCTGTCTCTGGCAGCTCTGGGGCGGGATGCATGCAGGGCATGAAGGGGTGCAGGGGTCTCCCCTCGCTGCGCAGGCACCCAGTGACGTCCCCAACTTTGCAGTGGGCGTCGAGCACATGGAGTGCGAGATCAAACTGGAGGCTCTGGCCAGCCCTGACCGCGACGGCGGTGCCGACATGGACTCGGGCAAGGGGCTGGAGGACCCGGAGGAGTGCAAGAAGAGGAAGCGCAAGCCATACCGTCCCGGTGAGAGCGGGTGCTGGGGCCACCCCAAGCCAGTGGACCGCGACCGGGCCCATCATGACCCTCTTCTGCCTCCCACCAGGCATTGGCGGCTTCATGGTGCGGCAGCGGAAGTCCCACACTCGCTTGAAGAAGGTCTCGGCGGTGCTGGCCGAAGTGGGGCGCGAGGGGCTGAGCGCTGAGGGGCACGCGGAGGACGGTAGGGCCCCCGACACCTTCCCTTCGTCCCACCGAGCACCCCTGTCCCCTGTGGGTGGAGCGGGATGGGGGCGGACAGCCCTGAGGGACAGGGAGCTGTGCCTGAGGCTTTCCCGTGGTATGGGAATTGCCCTGATCTCCTCTGGGAGGAGATGGTCACGGGGACAGTGTTCCCAGGGGCTCCGGGAGACCTCCCGGCAGAGGGCGGCCTGGACCCGGGCTCGGCAGAAGGGGACGAGAAGAAGAAGCGCCGGGGGCGGAAGAAGAGCAAGTTAGAGGACATGTTCCCCCCCTACCTGCAGGTGAGGGCAGGTGGGGAGGGGTGGATGGAGACAGAGGTGGTGTTGGGAGGGATGGATGATGGGTGGGTGGATGGAGATGGAAGTGGTGGCGCTGGGAGGAGTGGATGAAGACAAAGGTGGTCCTGGGAGGCATAGCTGGACACAGGTGGTATTGGGATGGATGGATGATGGGTGGGTGGAGACTGAGGTGGTGCTGGCAGGGATGGATGGACGGAGGTGGTACTGGAACGGATGGAAACAGTGCTGGGATGGACGGGGGCAGAGGGAGGGCAGCGGGGCTGCAGAACTGGGCTGGGATGGCCGGAGGAGGGACGGCGCCAGGGCTGACGGGACCTTCCCTTCGGCAGGAGGCGTTTTTCGGGAAGGCGCTCATGGACCTGAGCCGGAA